GAGGGGGGCTGGCCGCCGTGGGCCTCCTCTCCGCAGGCAGCTCGCCCAGCGCGGGAGGGGGCGAAGAGCAGATAGAGTAGTAGCTCTTCGGGGGGGAAAAAAAAGGTCAGAAAAAAGCCAAAAGAAAAAGAGGTTTGATAAATTGCAAGTCACACTTCCAGACAGGACTCCCTAGATTTTCATTCAAATCCAGGCGCTTTCCCATTATAACAGGTCCCCTCCAGTCGCCGGCGCTTAGGAACTGGCCGAATTAGCAAGCTGAGCAGACAGGCAGAAAGGCAGGGATTGTTTAAATCAGTAGGTCTCAAAGCGTGGTCCCTGAACCAGTAGCATCAGCACCACCTAAGAAGTTGTCAGACATGTAAACTCTCAGCCCCTCTGCTACCTACTGAATCAGAAAGTCTAGGGGAGGGTCCCAGCCATCTGTGTTTTAATCCATCCTGTAGGTGATTCTAATACACTCGAATTTGGAAACCACTGATGTAAAGAACAGAACCTTTGTGTCTGTCTGGGCTGTAGTTTGTAAATACTTTATATACATCTTCTCTCATTATATACAGCCTCTCCCATTTTATAACTGAACACAAGGGACCAGAGGGGTCAAGAGGACAAGGTGTCCCAACCAACTTGAGATAGACCTGCAGGTTCCATCCGATCACTCCCTCCCCACCTCTCTGGCTCCCGGTTCCCACTTGTGAACCTGCAGCACCTGTATTATGCTAGTGTAGAGGAGGCCACACTGGGATTTCCACTGGGAGACTCCAGCTTCCCCACTGTTCAAAAGCCATCTTCCCGGCAGTGAGGCAGGTGTATGCACCTTCCTCCCTCTATCACTTTCAGGTTTCCAGAAGGTGATGCCTCAGAGACTGATGTGCCCTGGGCTGATGAGGAAGATGGAGTATCCTTCCAACACTCCAGCAGTGAGCTCTACCTGCAGCCTCTGGCAGGTATTAGCCCCTACCCCCTACCTTTCAGCCTGGCCTCACCTTTTTCCTCAATCCCTGAGCCCACTCCCATCTGAGCCAGCAACTCTGCACTGTGAACTACCTGCTTCTTGCACAGCACAGAAATATTTGGGAACTGGGCTGTCAGCTGTGACGCCAGTATGGGGTATTCTGGAGTGCTTGTTAAGTACCTCCTTGCTATGAATTCTCTTCAAACGCCTGCACACTCAAGGAATCCAGAAGAGGGAGTATGCAGGCCTGACAGAAGTCCCCCACTACTTCCCACCCACCCTTAAATGCGTGGCTCTACTCCCTGTTCCAAAGGCTAGAATTAAACAAAATATGTATGTGTCCCCTCCATCCCACCCTACCTTGTCCTCCCTTACCCTGCAATATCAGTTCTTTCACTCATAGTCACAGAGAACCATGGAGAAGTGGAAATCCAACTGCACCTCAGTTCCAGTCATTGCCTTTTGAAAGACTGCCAATGGCAGGCAAAGTTCCAGTTGCTCAAATGCATGTGCCCAGAGGGCATGGAGCTAGCTGTGAATAATATCACCTGCATAGGTATGTTCTGCCTTTGCCCAAAGTCTGGACTCCTGGGGCCACAGGCTGGGAGGAGCATTAGGGTACTGGGAACATTTCCTGCTGTGTGCCAGGCACTGTGTTGGGTGTGGGCAGGAAATTGGAGATACATCAATGCATGCTCTGCCTTCAGGGAGCACGTAGTCTAGTGTGAGGGACACTATCTACCTATCTAGACGTATGAATCTATCTATTTCTATATATCTAGATATAGATGCATATGAAAGTGACAATTGCCATGGAGATGTAAAGTGTTTTAGGGGTTCTCAGGAGCGAGAGGTTGTGTTTGTCTAGGATAAGTGGAAAAAGCATTATGGAAAAGTTAATGCCTGAGCTGAATCTTGAGACATGGGTAAAACCTGGGTTAGAGGGACAGAGAGGAACTTCCCACTGGAGCTGTCTCTCTCCCTAGACCAGCTTCCCCCACCCGGGCCCTCTGGTTCTGTTAGTGGCTGTGGTGGCGACTTCTACACTGAACCTCCTTATGGTGTGTGGGGTCCTGATTATGGGTATGGATCACCCAGCAGGCACGGCTGACTCAAGGCTTCCTACTTATCCAATGAGCTGTGTGGGATCTCAGGGGCAAATATGGCTGATTTCAAGACCCCTACTCCCAGCAGAGCAATGGTGAACTCCTCCGGGGTTCTGAGCATAGAAGCAGCTGGGGAGGCCAAGGGAAAAACATTTGCCTTAATGGGCATCTGTGGAGTTGCCCTGGGCAGGGAGAGGCAAAGCAGGGCAGGTAGAGTGTGTGTCATCTTTCCTCCCACCCTCAGTGAACCCTAAGAAGTGGTAGGGCCTGTGGGGACAAGGCTGCCAGGCCCTGAGCTTGAGCTGAGCAAGCTTCAATCCTCCACCATGAGAACAGCTCCCAGTTCTTACTGTTGCCGGACAGGGCTTGCCCAATGCAGCCGGGGCCTCGCCCCCAGGGCTTACAGAGGTTTCCCCAGACAAGTCATTCAGCTCAGGTGAATCCTCCTCCTCCTGAGTACCTATGTACTCTGAATCTCCACTCCCCAGCCCGCTCCCTGCTATGGTAAATTAGGATCCCAGAGAGCAGCTGCTGACCCAAACACCTTGTATAGAGGAGATAGAGGCCAGAGAATTTCCAAAAGAGAAAATAACTTGTCCAGGGTCAGATGTCATCCCCAATTTTGGGATGGTAGGGACCCTAGGATATGATTCCTTTGGAGCAAGGGTTGCTTCCACCTCAGGGTGTCTGCAAGGACCCAAGGGTAGGCCTCATACAGACTCCCACCCCCACCCTGACTCCATACCTGCCCTCTCTTCTGCCCTGGCTCTGTGCCAGTCAACATTGCCTCTGTAGGGCTTACACCTGGGGTCATGCCATGATATAGAGAAAGCTCAGACTCAGATAAGGCCAGCTGGGCAAAGGAGGGGGGAGAAAGGAGGTAAAGAGACATTAGACTCTCCAGAACCCTTCCTCAGGCTCAGCCACCCACTCCCTTCCAACCTGTCTTCATGCAGAGCTCTGGGCCATGGTGCCTTTGGAGAGATCTATGAGAGACTGGTTATTGGCCTTTCTGGGGACCCCAGCTCCCTGCAGGTGGTTATCAAGGTGAGAGGGGGTGAGGCTTCTGGCTGGGTGTAGGAGAGCAGGGTTCCATGGAGGGAGAAACAATTGCTGATGCTAGGGTCAACCCACCCTCCTAAAGTGTCTGAGGAACTCAGGAGCTCTGTGCCCTTTTCCTCCCCAGACTCTGCCAGAACTGTGCTCTCACCAGGAGCTGAATTTCCTCACGAGGCGCCCATCATCAGGTGCACCTGGGCCTGGGTGCCGGTGGAAGTGGTGGGGAAGGCACCCAGAACTGCCTGTGGGAGCAGCCTCTCTTCACCCTGAGGCTGAGTGGTAGCAAGTCTAGGGAAACAGAGGTCCCCTCCAGTTTTTTGGAGCCTAAAGCATGGTTTCTCTCCCTGCTGGTGATGGGGTATATGTACCACCCACCCAGCAAGTTCAGCCATCAAAACATTGTGAGCTGTGTGGAACTCAACCTCTGGGCTGCCCCTCACCTAATTCTGCTGGAGTTGATGTCTGGAGCTGACGTGAAGACTTTCCTGAGGTACAGCCAGCTGCACCTAATAAGACCCTTCTCCCAGCCCTCCAGGCCCCTCTAAAGACCCTGTCAATGTATGCCAGAATCTTCATGGACTAATGCACCCTCTGCCCAACCCAGGGCCAGCCTCTGGCCATGCAGGACCTGCTCCAGCTGGCCCAGGACAGCCCCAGGCTCCCACTACCTGGAGAAAAATCACTTCATCCACAGGTCAGGAGTCATCCTGGCTCATGAGACCCCTTAGCCCAACTCCCTCCCCAATAAAGAGACCTTCCACATAACTTTTATGAAAGTAGATCAGAGCCAGAGATTCTGAGTTCTGGTAGTGATTCCCCCAACCCCAATTCTACCAGAAACTGCCTGCTGAGCTGCAGTGGGCCCAGCAGAATGGCCAAGATGGGGGACTTGGGGTTGGCTAGAGATATCTACAGGTGTGGGGTCTGGGGAGGTGGGAAAGGCTGCTGCTTCAATGGAGTTTCCCAGCAGCCCAATGATTTGAATAACTCATCACTCCCCTCTCCCTCCTGTAGATGTTCTTTATTACCTGGAGGGCATCTTCACATCCAAGACAAACTCCTGGTGATACCATGCCCTCCCCCTCCCCTGCCTTGGGCCACCTCATGTGAGGAAAGAGGCTTTGCCTGATGGGCTTCATTCAGTTCCCCACACTCATGATTCAGGTCTTTTGGGTACTGCTCTGGGAGATCTCACTGGCCCTACCCTGGGCACACCAACCAGGAGGTGCTGGACTTCATAGTTGGAGGGGGATGGATGGACCCTCCCAGGGGCTGTCCAGGACCTGTGTAAGTATGTAGTGTTGCTCAGGAAGGGGGTCCTTCACAGCCATGGTTGAGCACAAACTCCTGCTTCTCCCCAAGTATCATATCATGACCCAGTGTTGGCAGCACCAGCCTGAACTTGGCCCTAGTTTTGTCAGCATCTTGGAGCATCTTCAATACTGCACTCAGGTATGCCTGTGTGACCTGCCCTGACCATCCTGGTCTTGGGGATCAGGAAGGAGGCCATAAAACAACACTGACCCCTTGCTCTCTTACCCTCCCATTATAGGACCCTGATGTGCTAAATTCACCTCTGCCAATGGAGCTAGGGCCCAGAAAGAGAAAGAGACTTCTGGGCTGGAGAGCAGGTCTTTGGAGGGCCTACGATACCCACAGGCCCAGGAACTGAGTCTGGAAAGCTTGAAGAGCTGGAAAGGGAGCTTCTTTGGCCCCTGGCTGCCCTCTGCCTCAAGACCCCCAAATCCTGGGGACCCCAACCTCAGAACATTTGAGATCCCATCTATGGCTGGTGGGCCCCAAGCGGCCCTGAGGGTGATGATACAGGCATTGATGCTAGCAATGGTTCCTCCCTGCACTCCTCCCTAGGCTTCTAGGTGGCTTGTTATTTGAGTAGCCTCTCCCCCCACCCCCACCCCAGTTTGTGCTGCAAGCCTGGGCCTGTCTCAAGGCTGGCCTGCACCACAGGACTTTCCATCCTGGAAACCAGACCCAGGCCTCCTGGGGAAGAGCCTGGCCACTCCCAGGCTTTGAACTTTGGGATCAGAGTAGAGGCCAACCCCTCTCCCTCAGATGTGGGTGCCCAGTTGAAATTGTCTCCTGCAGGAAGCCTTTGCTGGATTGCCCTTCCCCTATGAGCATCCTTCTTCTGGGCAGTCCGCAACCCTACCAATACCTCTAATAAAGAGCCCTTCTCACCCTGGATGCTAGCTCAGCTGGTTGAAGTGTCGTGATACTTCAAGGTTGCTGGTTGGATCCTGGTCAGAGCATATGCAGGAAGCAAACAATGAATGCACAAATGGGTAGAACAACAAACTGATGTTTCTTTCTCTCTCTCTTTCTCTCTCTCTCTCTCCCCCTCTCGCTCTCCAATCAATCAATAAATTATTTTTTTTAAAGAGCTCTTCTGATATCCTCCAGTGATCTGAGTGGACGTCAGGGATGCCTGGGAACTGAGAAAGAGGGGACCACAGGAGGGAGAAGATGAAGCCTGAGTCACCAAAGCTGGTGTGTTTGAGTTTTATTGTGGAGGAGAGTCCTTTGTAGTGTGGGAGGTTAGATCAATAGATCTAGTGCCTGCGAAATAAAATTCATTATCTGGCCCCTCTGGAGAAGTACAGAGCGCCCTCAGAAGAGCTAGGCTGAGGAAGAAGCCCATTGTCACAGTCTTCCCCCCTTAAATTAGTGTCATTGGCTCTGGGACCGCTTGGGTTTGTACAGGGAACAGCTTTGGTGCGTGCAGGGCGTCCCTTAGTGGTTGGCACCTGGCCCTACAGGACCCTGTGAACCGCCCCAACCTCTGGGTTTGTTTGTCTCTTCCCAGCATGCACAGCGGGGACAAAGCCGCGGGTCCGTCTGTCAGACCAGTCGGTCTGTGCGAGGGCAGGGGCCTAGCCTCATCTCTGGGCCAGGCTGGCCAGGATGCCAATGAGATTGTCCAGCCCCAGCAAATAGCCGTCCTCGCGGTTGCCCTCCTCCCAGGGCGTCCGATGGTCCAGCGTCTGGCCGTCGGGGAGGGGCGTGGTCTTGCCGAAGTCGATGAGCCACACGCCCGCGCGGTGGCAGTGGTCGTGCACGAAGAGCAGGGAGCTGCCGATCACCTGCCGAGCCCCGCGCCGTCAGACCACCGCCCTCTCCCCCGAGAAGCACCCCACCCTCCTCCCGGGCAGCCCTCACAGGCCACGGGCCGGGAGCCTGACAGCACCCCTCTTACCTCGTGCCTCCTGAAGAACTCGGAGACCTCCAAGGTGTCCCGGATCTGCTGCAGGCGGTTCAGGTACCTCCTCTGGACAGGGCAGGAGAGGAGAGGAGGGCGCGGTAACTAAACACTTACAGAGCCTCTGCTAATATCGGGGGTTACGATGCCTGCCCGTCTGGTAAATACCGTGGGGGAAAACACAGGCCCTCGAGTGGCGCAGAGCAAAAGGGAAGGAACGTAACTGTGACAAAATGCCAGGGTGCGCACGGCCGGGCGTGGCTCGGCGGTTGAGCGTCCACCTAGGATCCAGGCGATCCGGGTTCGATTCCCGGTCAGGGCACATGCCCGGGTGGCGGGCTCGATCCGCGGTCGGGGGCGTGCAGGAGGCAACCGATGGATGACGACTCTCTCATCATTGATGTTTCTATCTCTCTCTCTGAAATCAATAAAGATTTTAAAAAAAATGCTAACGATGCACTAGACAGGATGACCTGGGGGCCTCCCTCGGTTTCAGGCTCCCCAGCGGCTCAGGGTTCGAGGGCCCGGCGCTCACCAGCACTTCCGCATCCCCCTGCACGAATTCCTCGAAGACCCGAGTCACCTGCTCCCGGCTTCGCGTGGTCTTGAAGTCGGTGCTGCAGGATCCGTCGGCTTTCTTAAGGAGGTGGGACAGGAAGTGTCAGGGGCCCCGCACCCGCCAGAGGGGAGAGGATCAGTTAGAGCGGCGGTACCTCCTGGACATTGGAGGCCAGAGTCAGCGAGACGGCCGCCAGAGGGTGC